AGAAAGCCAAGTAATTTTATTTTAAATAGTAAATAGGCTCAAAATGACCTTTGGGATTGGAAGGGCTCAAACTGATAAAAGTAATTAAAAGTTACAGCCTAATTTAGCTTTCCATAATCTCAGGAATATTCAAAAGCAATGTTTTCATATGCATAATAAGGGAAATAAACAATTATAGAGGCAAAAAAGGAAAAATTAAAGGTGGTTAAAAATTATCCTACATTAAAAATTTTTAATATCTTGCATATTTCATTTTTGTAGGTGTTTTCTCATTTTTAGTAAAAACGTAGAGGTTTTTTCATATATATTTGGATGAGGAATAAGACAAATATACCTATATCTACATCTAAATACATTTTGCTGATTTTTTACATAGGTAAATAAAAGCTATATTAACATAGTAAAGAACATGCCAATTTCAGTAACACCCAAGGGTTAAATAGAAAAAGCATTTGAATTTAAATCAGGATACAACCTTTCTGGGGCCCTGGGGCTGGCTTAGTTGGTGGAGCATGCAACCCTTGATCTCAGGGTTGTGGATGTGAGCTCCATGTTGGATGCAGAGATCACATAAAAATTTAAAGATCTTAAAAAACAAAAACAAAACCCCAGAAACTACCCTTCCGGTTTTAACACAAACTATAATCCTAAAAAGATCAACTCAACTCTTTGGGTGTTAATTTCTACTTTGTGAAATAAAAGACATTATAACAGGAGGAATTTTTAAGATAAGAATCTTCCATCTCTAACATTCTAAGACCCTAAAATATAACTATAATTTGAGAAGAGGACAAACCGAGAGTCAATTAAGGCCTACAATGGGTGTCAGAATAAAAAAAAATTATGCCTAAGTGTAGAGGAAAAAATATGTCATGACGGGAAAAGGAGAAGAAACTCTAGCCTAAATATGATGATTTTAATTTAGAGGGTGTTTTTTGTTAATGAAATTCAGTCAACTGGGCATTAACTGAGTATGCTGTTTCACTTTTGGTTAACAGAGTTAACGTAGACAGACCCGAGCCAAACGTGATCCCTGTTGACTATCTGTGATTGCAAGACCATCACTAGGCCAAAATCTTATGTACAAAGAAATCATACGTATGTGGGTAAATACAAAAAGAACTGACATACTACAAGCAAAGACTTTGGGGCTTACAGTCCCTCAGGAAGGACAGTGACTATAATGGAAGGTAATATTATGAAACACTCACCAGGTAGGGCATTTGGTCCAATATGTTGTACTTTCACCACCTAAATCAATCCTCAAACTGATGCTCCTTTTTTTTTTAATAATAATAAATTTATTTTTTATTGGTGTTCAATTTGCCAACATACAGAATAACACCCAGTGCTCATCCCGTCAAGTGCCCCCCTCAGTGCCCGTCGCCTATTCACCCCCACCCCCCGCCCTCCTCCCCTTCCACCACCCCTAGTTCATTTCCCAGAGTTAGGAGTCTTTATGTTCTATCTCCCTTTCTGATATTTCCTACCCATTTCTTCTCCCTTCCCTTCTATTCCCTTTCACTGATGCTCCTAATAGGGCTGTCTTATACTTGGGGAAACTGAGGCTTCCGTTTAGTATTTTGCTCAAAGTCACCTAGCTTAAAGGTCAAAGCCATAGTGTGAGCTGGGGCTATCTGACTTCACACCACAGTGAATCTCCATTTAACCCTACCTGTTCTCTCAAGTGGCAATGGAGACCCACAAAAATAATGTTTATACAACTGGCTAGGATCAATTTTAGTAGTTACTTTGCAATGTGGTCTCTTATTATTTCACATATTCAAATACTTTGCTAATTACAAAAGCCACCTAGGTGAAAGTTCATTTATTTTTAAAAATAACATTTAGTATCTTCTGCTTTGTATCACTGGCTATGTTTGTAATTCACATAATTTTGGATGGCTTCATTCTCAACAGTTTCTGTTACTATCATCTTGATCTTATGAAATCAAAAGAATAATGAAAATATATTTTAAATAGGATTTTTTTGAAGGTTACTTAGAAATTGCCACTAAAAAAAATCAACAGTCTTAGATAAAATATAGAAAAATTAAATTGGGAAGCAAATTAATCAGACGTGTCATTTTCTGTTAATATATAAATGGGAAAAATCTGCTCATGTGGTGTTAAGGATATGTCAATTACTGGCAGGTAGCATACAAAATAGAAGTTTCTCATGAAACGTTCAAAGGAAGGGAAAATATGAGGGACTGGAGAGTTTTGTTTTCTTTTTTTTTTTTTTTTTTTAAAGCCACTGCCATGAATTGAGTCATTAAACTAAAAAGAACACTCAAATATAGTTGTATTTTTTTCACACATACCCCTTTATTTCTCCTAACCTCCAAATAAACTAGAAAATAGGATGGAAAAAGGATAATGTTTGTATGTATAAACACAAGTGCTTGGGCAGAGGTGGGGATGGGGGGGGGTGGTTAGTGGTCCTGAAAGCATCAATGAATGAGCCCTGAGAAAAATGAGTACTTACAGGCTGAATCCAGCCAGACATTATAATCCATCACTGATCCCTAAAGGGCACTAATAATATGTAAATGTGTGAATTAGAAGACACATTCAAGGCTGTTGATAAACTTGATAGGATAATCAGCACATGCTGACAGATTAATGAAACTGATGAACTGATAGGGCAGCTTATCTCCTGGGCCATTTTTTCTCTTGTCAAATGGAGGCTAATCAAAATGTATTAAGAGTTAAGGCAAATACTCAGAGGATTTCACCCATTTGATTAGGAGGTGAACTCACTCTGAGAAAATTATAGTTTCGTGAACAATTGAAACTATGAAACCTGCTCAGCTGATAGACCCTCACCTAAAATTAAACAGAAGGCAGCCACCATAATTATGGAAGGAATCTGGAATTTTAAATTATATTGGGATTCTCCCCTTGCAAACTGTCACAGTGCTTTTCAGAGTCCAGGCGAGATGACCTCTTTCTATAATGAAAAATAAGACAAAGGACTAATCAATAACCCCAGGGACGCACTTATCGTTTGCTGCCTGTGTGTGCTCAGCATCTGTGTAACCATATGAGACACAGATCCCAAGGAACCAGCTGAATTTTCAATCAAATTTATTTGCATAAAATAATAGAATGAATCTTCTAAAATCACTAACTATAGTGAATATCACACTTCCTATTAACAATAAAGATGCCATATGCAGTCTGTTGCCAAGGAGCTGAGTCCTTTCCTCATTTAAAGAAAGACATCTCACTCGATAATTCAGGAAAATTGGGAATAAGGCCTTCCCATGCATTAGTGTTACAAGTAAACTCATAAACTAAAAACCATTGTGTCTCCTTAGAGAAAACTGGAGAAAATAATCCTTTTAATATTAATTCTGACATGAATAATCATCCAGTGTTAACAGAAAAGTTAATTCAATGGGCAAATCGGTCTCTAGGCACACTTTGTGGACACGTACACGTGTGCTGGGTGGATAGACTGATGATGGTAAAGGCTGCAGAGTAAAAGTTACTGCTTTAATTTTCTAAAATTTTTAATTCTTAAGAGTGTGATAGCAAAAGTACATTTAATGAAGCTAGATTTTTACCTTGCAGTAATTATACAAAAGAGAAAAGAAACCACAACTAAAAATACCCCAGGGTCCTCTTTCACATGAGCACTAAATCACTCCATTGTGCATAATTAACTGGGGGTGGGATGCCCAGAGACACGAGATGAAAATATTGACCTCTTCCAAATTATGGGGTTTTTCCTGTTTACTGACCTGTGCCTCATTCTATCTTTCGAAATCTTTTTTTTTTTTTCTCATTTATGAAAAAGAGAAAGTGAGAAGTGAGGGTCTTTGCTAGCCATATATTTTCTAGTTTGGGAAGGTCTGGGATTTTCAAAGCCACACAGCTATGATTTCTCAAATTGTAGAATATAGAAGCATAAAATTATCCTAAAAATTATGTAGTCTCATTTATTTTATATGCATAGAAATAGTAAACAACTTAATCAAGTTAATGAGAAAGGAAAATCTGAGTTTGAAAATTGTGCTTTGGAAATAAAATCTTTGATTTTTCTTCTCTCCCTTAAGCAGAAATAGCAGAGTTGGTCAATCAGCAGGGCATCTTAAACTGTAGGGATTCTTTTCCAAGTCACATAGTCAATAGGTAGTCTTCAGTTGTGTCTACTATCAAATAGATATAGTAAAAATTTACTACAAGGCGGTCACAGGTCAATCACAGGCAATATTTTATCAGAAATTCTAGTTCTTGGTCTCTTACACCTAGAAAACTCCATGTCCTAACTTATACGCTTTCTGACTAATTAAGAGGACAAATTATTCAATGTGGAAAAGTAACGATTGTAGTAGCACATTTACATTCTTCGCAGTACTGTTCTCACTCTAAAATAACACTCTGAAAAACCTATTGTGATCCAAAACCTTATCAATGAAAACCATTACAAGTTGGTTCAGTTATTCTCATCTTTTAGAAGCACCAAAATCATGACTCCCTATATCATGCCATGCTTATTTGGGGGAATCTGATTAAGAAAGTAATGATCAAATATTCTCATGAATTTGATAAATCATTGAGAAAAAAAATATTTATTCACCATTTTTAATTTCTAGGGTCTAGCTAATACTCAATATCCAAATGGGTTTGTAAGAACCTCGCAACAACTCTAGATCAGCTAAGAATCAAGTGTATGATTGCTCTTGTTAGAATAAACGTGCTTTGTCAGGGTCTGGCTGGCTCAGTCAGTACAGCATGCTACGCTTGATCTCTGGGTCATGAGTTTGAGTTTCACACTGGGGGTAGAGTTTACTTAAAAAAATAATTAAAAAAAAAAAAAGAATGAGTGTCTTTTGTGAACATTTGAAAGTATCACCAAACTGTGAATAAGTTTTTATGCGTATGTGTGAGGATCAATGATACGATTTATTTGAATTCTATTAACAGAAGCACAGATTTTAATTTCTCCACGAGTCCCCAAAATGTAAGTTAAAATATTAGATTTTACTTACCCATCATGTTGTACAAGCTCTGTGGAGCAAACTGCCTTGGCATTTTCTGAATTGCTTCCTTGTATACGCTAAGGGCATCCTAATTTAGGAAATGAAAAAGAGACAAAGTACAAGGATATTCACTACAAATAAAATGACAACATCCTTCAAAAATCAAAGCCTTCCATTGCTATTTCTAAATGGCTCATCAGGGGAAAATAATTGAGCTGTCTTGATATCATACTACCTCAATTTCATGAATGAAAATATTCAACCCACTTAGTGAAGAGGGCCACATAAAAATTTAGACTCCTTTAACAAGGAGTCAAATGTTGCCAATGCTCATTTATTTTAAAACAAATTTTCCAGTTCACATAGATTATTTAGTTTTTTTTTTAAAAAAAGGTAAAGTTTACATTTGGAAGTTACCCATAATCATCTAATATCTACAGTTACTTCAAGCCAGGTAACGAATAAAATAAAATAGCAACTAACAAATCTTCTGGCTACTGAGATCCACTGAAATTATGAAATTAATTATTTTAAAAATTGTATCTTTATCCTTATATTGTAGTCTTAGTATACATGGTGTAGGAGTATGGGTTTGAGAGCTACAAAGGGAGGAGCAGTTTTAAATGTGAGAGAAAAAAACCCATGCAGGCAGGCTTCGTGTGACAGAAAGGGTACACACACCTCCCAGTTTCTTGTACAACATCCCAACTCCAGTACTCTTCCTCTCACTCCAATTAAAAAAAATAAATTTTCATTTTATTACTATTACAGAAAGAACCAAAATAAATGGGTAGGATTAACACCAAATTCACTTCCTTAATATCCAGAATGCAAACAATGTATTTTTTTTAAACATCAAACACCGGATATAACACTGTTTCTTGGATCATAAAATCAAAGAGACTAAGCAAATAAGCTTGAGAAACAACGCAGGTTATTTCCCTTTGTAGAAGAGCCACCGGTGCTCTGAGAAATTCATAGGAAAGAAATCTTAAGTTTTATTTAGAAGAGATTCTTTTCCAAATGAATTTCACCATACAACTCTTAATAAAAACTCCTATTAACTTAAGTGAGCAAAGTGTCCCTCAATGAGATCGCAGGGTAGAAAAAAACATGGAGTCTTGGACCAAGAACACAGGAGAAAGAGAAAGGGTGGGGTTTGGGCCTGACCTCGTAGTGTCCCTGCTCATGATAGAGTTTCCCCAGGTTGTAGAGACAGCTGGTAACTGAACTCTTATGTGCATGAGGGTCCTTTAGGTTTTCATCAGGAATCTCAGAACACTTGAGGAACGTGCGTCGGGCTTCTTCTGTCTTTCCTTGGTTCATGAGAATAATACCGGTGTTTAAATACGCAGCTGAGGAGGAAAAAATGGGAAATACAAATGTGAAAAGATGATGTACACTGTGACAACAATAAAGTTATCTTACTCCACTTTAGCTTCTATGGATGATTTCTGATTTATTAAGAAATCAAAGAAATGAAAACTTGGGAAACAAATATATATGGGAACAACAATGAAGTAAGGAGTATAGGTGTCAATGAAAAATGGATGGATGGTTTTGTCCTTGAAGAGCTGAAGAAATTTTGAGCTTAAACTCCGGATGAATAAAAGCTGTATTTATCTTAATATATTAAAAATGATAAATGGGTATTAAAACATGATTGAGGGGATGCCTGGGTGGCTCAGCGGTTCAGCGCCTGCCTTCGGCCTAGGTTGTGATCCTGGAGTCCCAGGTTCGAGTCCCACGTCGGGCTCCCTGCATGGAGCCTGCTTCTCCCTCTGCCTGTGTCTCTGCCTCTCTCTCTCTGTGTCTCTCATGAATAAATAAATAAAATCTTTAAAATAAACAAACAAACAAACATGATTGAATGGAGAGACATGTAATTATTAGAGGCTCACTCATAATCTGATAAGTATTTAGAAATAGAAATAGGAAGGTTTTCTTCCCTCTGAGGCTGTAAGTCAGCAAGATAATTTTCGTGGATAAATAAGGAAAAAAAGAGGTGTTTTGAAAGGACTTGCATATTACTTACAAGCCAGTGTAGGCCTGCTTCCGATCGCCAATTTGTAATAATGTAATGCTTCTGCGAACCTGCTGTTCTCCTGTAGAAGTAACCCTCTGCATGAGGAAAAGAGAAATTTGGAGAAGGACTGTGTTACTATACATCAAACCACAAATTTGTATTTTATACTTCAAAAATAAAAAAATGGTTAACGGGGCTATAAAAATGCTGACCCGGTACAATAAAAATAAATTCTTAATAGAAGGAAATGATTCCTCAGGAGAGAAAATACTGGAGAGGTATCAGCTATGTTTATGTTGCATTAGAAAGTATTAAGAAGTATTTCAAAGAGCCCTTTACCCCCAGTGAACTTTTTCCTTTCCGGCAATTTTTCTCTCCTCCTGGAATGACAAACCACCTGGATTTCTTCTTGGAGCATGCACAGTTTTTCACCAGTTCAGAAAGGAAACTTGTCTAAGGCAGTGATATATATATATAGATATAGATATAGATATAGATATAGATATAGATATAGATATAATATATATTTATATTTATTTATTTATTATATTTATGATATATGTTATAATAATAATTAATATATTATATTTATTTATTTATTGAAACATGAGGACATGAGGTGACTCTCCCCCTAACCATACTACTGGGGAAATATTGGTCAAAGGCAAAAGGTAATCTGGGTCAATAGGATAAAGAGAGTCTGAATTTAATTAGATGCCATTAGATGCCATAAAGGAACAGAGTAAAAGACTAAAGGTTGTCCACATTGTGATTTCCTGGATTTGGTCAAATAAGTCCGAATTTCAGAACACTGGGCAAATCTCACTTCACTATTGTGAGACATGTTTTTGACTACAGACCCTTAGATCCCACAGGCCTCGTGAGGAAGCTCCTCAGGCTGTGGCCACGTGGATTATCCATCATTCCAGACCCCATCCTCATGACCTAAATCAGAATCAATTACAGTCCTATCTATGAAAATACAGTGTCAGGGAATTGGACTAAGTCCAAAAGGTCTCTCAGAGGCTTTTAACCTATGCCTGTTCTGTTGTAATCAGTAGGTATCTCACAGACATTTGGCACCTCTACTAGGCCTGAGTACTTAACAATCTCAAACTGTAGGATCCACTTGCCAGCTGCTGAGGCCTTTGCAAAATGAGAAGGCTACTGATAAAAACGTACCATTTTATAGAATGTTTTTTAAACATTCAGCTTTCTATTTAATGGGCAGCACTGAAAAAATACCTGAAGAAAATCATTCCCAAATTAATGTTTGCTCACTTGTATCATTAGCAAGGATTAATCTCACTATTTCTTTTCTTTTTTTTTTTTTTTTTTTTTGATGGGGGTGGTGGTGGGCAGAGAGACTCTTGAGTAGGTTTCACGCCCAGCGCATGAGCCAGATGTTGGGTTTGATCCCACAACTGTGAGATCGTGACCTGAGCCAAAATCCAGAACGGATGCTTAACCAGACTGAGCCACCTGGGTACTCTAAACTCACTAATTCTAATATTTGTTTAAAAGTCATCTAAATAGATCAAACCATTCCAAAGCACATTAACATCACTTACATAGATACATAAATGTACACTTCTATAAAACATTTTGAGCAACAGTTAATTTGATCATGAAACTGATATGCTTTGCTGTGGAGTATACTTTTTTAGCTGCGAGAAACAAACTTTCCTACGGTACCTGAGTTTGTGAAAAGGTTCAACTGTCTTTAAAAGTAGGTATATACCTGAAACTAATATTAACACTGTATGTCAACTATACTTCAATAATGTTAAAAAACTTTAATGTGACAAAGATATGAAATATTCTTTGTAAAGACCTGATTATCTGTTTTTTAAAAGGTGAAACTGCTAAAGAGAAGGAATACTCACCTGTTTTTCAAAAAAGGAATAATTTTCTTTGTAACAATAATTTTATTGACAAAATGCTGGATTTCCAGTTAACTAAGCTCATAACATTATCTCATTTCAGAAACTTATCTACAACCTTAATTACTTTTATCACTTTCCTTTGAGATTCAGATAACAAGGTCCTTCTCCTTTGATACAAGGCTAATGGCACCAGAGGAGAAATATGATCCAGATATTTAATCCTATTTTTTCTACCTACTTTAAGGAATCAAAATCCTTCTGTGAGCCTCTCTTTGTCTAATATCCTCAATCCCTTTGTCCATTAGTTTCCTTTGCCTTAAAAATACAAAAAAATGTTCATGTGTCTCTTAGCACAGAAAGGAAAAAACCTTCTATAACCTGTATTCATTCCTATATCCACCTTTAACTACAGCTTATTATTGTTCTTCTCATCAGACTCAGACTTCCTTTCAGAACAATCTATAGTGTAAATGCCTAAGGACTCAAATCCCATTTACCCCTAAATCCAGTTATGGCTCTAATTATCAACCCCTCCCCTTCTAGTGTGCTCATATGAATGGCCCATGCAACTACAGAACTCATGACTATGTAACTCCTCTTCCTTCCTGAAACTGCGTCTTCTGCTTCCTTGAGACCAGTCTCCCCTAGTTCTCTTGATCTGGGACCATCCTATAGAGAATAATAAAGGTGTCTCTTGAAGAGCATTCATATAGTCCTTTAAAAGAATTTGGTGCTTCAGAGGGCTTTGTCTTTCTTCTCTTTTCTTCACAAATAGTGTCTCTGTATGACATCACACATATATATGCATATGCGTGTATATGCTGTATATATAATAACTGTTCTTGATTCTTTTTTTTTAAGATTTTATTTATTTATTCATGAGAGACACAGAGAGAGAGAGAGAGACACAGAGAGAGAGGCAAAGACCCAGGCAGAGGGAGGAGTAGGCTCCCGGCAAGAAGCCCGATGTGGGACTCAATCCCATGACTCCAGGATCATGCCCTGGGCCAAAGGCAGACACTTAACCCCTGAGCCACCCAGGTGTCCTGACTGTTCTCAATTCTGAAGCAGGATTGCTCTCCTGACATCCAGATCTCTTTCTGACAGCTTACTGAGCTGCATCAATCTCAGTACTCATTGGAATTTCAAAATCAACACATCCCAAAATTGAAAAGAGCATCTCCTGATCAAGAATAAAAAGATAAACAAATGAAATAAATAAAAGAAGAAAAAAAATCTCCTCAGCAATCAGCACTGTCATCCACCACATTTACTAAAATCAGAAACCTGATTATCATTTTTGAATTTTTGCTCATACAACTCCATGTTTTATAAAGTCTCCAAAACCCAACAATTCTTTTTTCTAACTCTTTACTCTGCCTCTCAAGGTTTATCCTTATGGCTCTGTCAGTCCTTTGTATCTTTACTGTCACCTAAATAACTCCAACAGCCCACTAATTAGTCTCCACATAATTACATTTCTAAAGGGCAAATATGCTGTTAGGCTAGACAGTATTAACATGAGGCGATAAGCACAGATCTTTGACAATGTGCCGGAAACCCATAAACCCTGCAAGCTGATGAGTTCAGCCTCATGGGCTCCCCAACGCAGACGTATTATATTCCTGTCATTTCCCAATTCAAAAAATACACAAAGAGGAGAAAATGATAAATAGCATGATCATCCCACCTAGACAGTCCTGTCCAGCCTGCCTTGTTCTTTGGAGGAACCTAGTCCCATGGAGTGAGGCAGCAGGCGAGTGTCCAAGAGGATCATGTATCACACAGCTCTCTGAATCTGAGAGTCTCACTATGTTCTCTGAATAAAGTTAGCAATGGAGCTAAATCCAAGTCAGACGGCTGCTGGGGCTGATTTCTCATGGCTAAAGATTTTAACTAAGCATCAACTATGCCCTAGCGCATGCAGCAAATGTGAACAAGACAGAGTTGCACTAGCCTGTGGATGCACAATCTATTGGAGGAGGCAAATAAGAAAATAAATGGTGTGGAAAATGACTGTGCTAGAGGAGGAAGGACCAAGGCTGGCCCAGCTCACGAAAGGACAAGTGAATATTCACAGAGTCCAAGTGACATCGGCAGAGGCTTGCGATAAGCAGCACTTAGCCAACAAAGGTGGTATCAGGTCCATGTTACAAAGGAATAAAAGAGGTTCAGAAAATGCACCAAATAACTCTTGGGTTTATGATTAATAAGGGGCAAAGCCAGGACAAGAACACTGTTTCTCTGATAATAAATCCCCCACTCTTCCTAAAAGAAAAAAAGGGTAAAGAAAGTAATTGAATGTGAGGTACATGCATACTAGCTTATGTTCCCCTTTGCTCTAGCACTCTCCAGATTTTGTAAAACACTCACTTGCATCAATGCTCTGAAAAGGAATCCAACACAGTGCTGGCAGTTCAGGATGAAAGTGCATTACTTCTAGCACTGTAATAACCCAAGCTTCTGTTGTTATTGCTGTTTGCCACATTTACAGAACCCATTCTTTATGTACTGAAGAGAGGACCGAGAACTAGAAACTCTTTACATTGTAATAGTTATGGTAAAAATAACAAAAGTCAAACTTATTTGGGGTAATGTGTCAAGTAGGCCACATGCAATCCATTCATTTATTACTCAACAATCACCTGATAAGGTGGGCTATTACTACTAGCCCCGTTTTACAAATGGACTTCAGACACAAAAAAGTTCGGCAACATGCCAAAGGTCACACAACTAGTGAGAAGTGTGCTACAGCTGAAGCCCAGAAATCTGGTGATAAAAGAGGATCCACACTGGAAGAGATCATTCATACCAAAGGCTTTTCCAGAACTGTTTTAAATTGAGGACAAGAAAAAATAAAATAAAATAAAATAAATTGAGGACATGGTTTATTTACATACTGATCATGTCAATAAAATCTTCTGGATCCTACATATATCAAAAATAAAGACACGTTTTAACATACCATCAAGCCAGAATCTGATGAGAAATAATTTTACTCATTTTACATGAGGTTGCTTTATGATTAAGGAAACTAGCTCAGGCCATACGTTAATGTGAAGCTGAAGTGACTTTTGAGAAGAAATTGAAAAAAAAAAGTTACTGATCTCTGAATAAGTGGTGGGGTCACTTTTACATACCTGTGTGTGTAGATGGATATATATATATATATATATATATATATATATATATATATATATAGTTTTTTT